TTGGGGGCCCCCCAAGGAGCATTTAAGTGCCATTTAAAGTATTAAAAAACCCCACATCTTTACAGGGGCCCTTTAAGGGCCCTGCGGCGCCGCAGAGGAGCCTTCAGAAGACCCCAGGGGGCCCCCTGGGGGCCCCCCAAGGGCCCCAAAAGGGTCTCCTGGGGGCCCCCAGGGGGGCCCCTAAAGACTTATTCTGTACCCTTTTAGGTGCGTTGTGGTGCATGCATTGCCTTGTGAGCTTGTAAGATTATTTAATTGTTTATTTATATTTATTTATTTAATAGTTGTACTTTTGTGGGACTATTCAATTGTTTATTTATATTTATTTGTTTAAAAGTTTTACTTTTTGTTTATTTAGTTTTCCCAGCAACTTATAAGTAGGGGTTAAAGCTGCTGGCCCCGTGGAAATGAAATAATGAACTTTAATTTCAAGATCTTCTTAAAGACTTTTAATTTCAAGATCTTCTTTAAGACTTTTTCTTTCAAGATCTTCAGCTGTGGGGGTGGTTTGTTGGAAAACTTTGCTGCTAAATATCTCAAGTTTGATTCTTTAATCGGGAAACTTGGGAAAGAAAGAAATGATGAATAATTAAATGCTCAAGTCTCGGACTGGCCGTTTGCTCTGCACACGCTGCGGTGTCTGTACGCACTCTCCACCAAAACTTGAGCCACGCGAGTGTCCACGAGGTACTGTTTGAATTCTTTCATTTTATTTTTATGTTTTATTTCTTCTGCGTCTGTAAAGCTCAGCGGAAGCTGCACACTGGGGTCGGGGGCCCCCCCTGGGGGGCCCTCCTGGGGGCCCCTCCCCCAGCCAGCCGCTGCCGCCTCACCCAGCACCATGTAGCTGAGCCCTTCGCGCGCAAGCAATTCGTTTTATTTCTTTTAATCCACTTTATTTCGAATTTTAAATAATATTAAAACAGAAAAAGAAAAAATGAAGAGCTGGAGAGGCAGCGGCGGGGCTGCACGCCTCGCCTGGGAGTGACCCTGAGGTGTCCAGACACCACAGCGGCGCGGTGGTGGGTTTTAACAAGTGAGCGCTTCAAAAACTTTTTGGTTAAATAGTTTAAATTAAATTAAATTTTGAATTATTTTTTGTTTTATTTTTTATTTGTTTGCTCATCCATCGGTCTGTCTATTGCCTAAGTAGCTGCCGTGGCTGCAGCCGCTCATTCTCTGCTGCTCCAGGTGACTGCAGCAGCGAACGCAGCTGAAGCCTTTTGCATTTGTTTGACTCTTATAAGTCATTCTTCCGCATATATAAATAAAAAATTAAATATAAAATTCAATAAATATAGAAATAGACTTATTTATATATCTGCAGCAAGCCATACCATAGAGCATTGCACACAATCTACCACATAGCGCAGATTAGGCAATCAAATACCTTTTTAATATCCCTGCATGCAATCCAGATTAATTTGTGCCAATTCCTTCACAATTCTTTTGCTGCTGCTTCCAAAAGAGCAGCAAATAACTATAAAAAGGATCAAATTTTAACCTCCTTATGCCTGCAATCCACGCAGCCGCCCGGGGCCCTGCATGCAGCAAAGCTTTGGGGCTTTGCATGCAGCGCATGCAGGCCTGGCCTTTGATTTTTACTCTGATACAGAGTGCACCGCTGTATGTCCTATGTGCATGCATATATACATATATACATGTATGCATATATATCTATGTATATACTCACATATATATATATACATCTATACATATACATATGTTTATACATATATATATGGATATATATATATATATATGTACACATATATATATATATATATATCTATGCACATATATAAATATGTTTATCAACATATATACATGTATATATCTAGTTATTATGAAAGTTAGTTTACATGAAGACACAGAAGTGCATGCGCAGGAAATAAAGCGTCAGCAGCGGCTTGGCGCTGCTGCATGCAGCAAAGGCAAAACGGAAGAAAAATAAGCACCTTTCGCTGTATTGCACAGCAGCAGCAGCAACAACAACAGCAGCAGCAGCAGCAGCAACAGCAGCAGCAGCAACAGCAGCAGCAGCGGCGCCTCACATGGTGGCCGAGAGAAGGGTGGGGCCCCAGGACGGCCGCAGGCCTTAGGGGCTGTAGAAGCCTCTGAACTCGAATAAAACCCTAAACCCTAAACCCTAACCCTAAACCCTAAACCCTAAACCCTAGATCCTAAAACCTGAAAGCAGATAGGTGTAACTCGAGGCTTTGCTGCCTCCCCAAAAAGCTGCTTGCCGCGGAAACTGCCTTGTTGCTGCTGCTGCTGCTGTTGCGGCTGCTGCAGCACAGCAGCAGCAGCCGCAGCGGCAGAAGCCCCGCGCTTCTCTGCTGCAGCAAGCTGGGTCTCTTAAAGCTGCTGCAGCGTTCTGCTGCTGCACAGGCACGCACATTAGAGTCTTTTAATATTTTCACCTTTATATAGATATATATATACATATATATATATATATGTAAGTATATGTATATATTTATATATGTATATATACATACATACATATATATATATGTATATGTATATGTACACACATCTATAATATATATATATATTTACATAAATATATATACTTACATAAATAAAAATATATATTTATTTATATATGTATGTAAACATAAAGTTGTAAAGAGCTAGATAAGGTCTTTTCTTCTCTTTCTGGGTTTTTGTTGCCCCGTTTCTCCCCTCCAAGAAAACAGCATCAAAAGAAAAAGAAATTTAAATTTATTTTATTTTGCAAGTTTGGGGCTTTTTGGAGCGCATGCAATTTTGTGGTTTGCAGCAAAAGGCCCGGGGGGAAGCCCAAAAGGTCTTCTTCTGTTTTTCTCATTTTAATAAAATTTGTTATAAATAAAACATTTAAATAACTTTTAGGACTTTTGAGGAAACATTTAAACTCCTTTTTATTTCTTTTGGGGCTTTTCGCAGCTCCAAATGCGTGCACTTTACATGCACTTTGCATGCGCTTTGCATGCACTTTGCATGCACTTTGCATGCACTTTGTATGCACTCTGCTGGGGTATTTAGGACTTTGAAAAAAGCAAATGGAAATCTTGCAGCCCTTTTTTGAAGCACTTTTGCTTTGGAAAGGCAGCAAACTGCAGCAGCAGCAGCAGCAGCAAGAACGGAAGAAGGGCTGCTGCTGCAGCAGCAGTTCTTTTCCTCTTTTCATGCTTTTCTTTATTTTGTTTTGCTTCTGCTGTGCGGCCCGAAAAGGCCGAACAAAAAGCAGCAGCAGCAGCAGCAGCAGCAGCAAAACGATAATATGTACAATAAATATAATTTAAATTAAGCTAAGCAGCAAATGCATGGCAAAGTGTGCATGCCCCAGACTGTTGCATTAACTTCTCTGTTCAAGCTTAGGCACAAGTGCAGCAGCAGCAGCAGCAGCAGCAGCACGCGGACAGCAGCAGAAATAGGCTATCTCTGCTGCTGGGGCGCTGCAGCAAAGGGGAAAAAGCTGGGCCTCAGTTGCCCTGCTTTACTGCTATTCTTTCTCACTTAATTTTGAGTTTAAAGAAGGGATCAAAGGAAGCAAAATGCCACTTCAGGGGACCCCAGGGCCCCCCGGGGGCCCCCGGGGACCTCCGGGGGGCCCCTGGCAGCAGCAGCAATGGGGACCCCGCTGCTCCCCAGGGGCCCCCGGGGTCGCGGGGGGCCCCTGGGGAGCAGCGGGGCCCCAATTGCTGCTGTAGGGGCCCACTTGAAACCCTTTTTTGTGCTTTCTTCTGGCTCAAATAGGATTATTTTCGAGGTAGTAAAGGGGGGGAGAGAAAAGAAAGAATATAATTTAAAAATGAATGATTTATTCGAAGAAAAGCGGTGGTTGCTGCTGAAGTTGTGCAGCACATTATCGCCGTGCCGGGGTGTCTAGGCAGTTGCGGCGGCAGCAAAACCCCCGCTGCAGCCCCTTTTAGAGCTTTAAACGCGTCAAGACAGCAGCAGAAAATGATAAATTGTTTCTTCTTCATTTTTTAATTATTTCATTGTTTTTATTTGCCAAAATTATGAGGCAAAATGGCAGCAAGAGGCGCTGCTGCCCAGCCACCGGGCATGCGCAGAGCTGACGGCCCCAGGGGGGCCCCAGAAGGGGCCCCCACAAGGCCCATTAGTATCTGTTTTGACTCCGAATTTAAAGTTAAAACGCGGATTTAGGGTTTAGGGTTTAGGGTTTAGGGTTTAGCGCTCAGGCTGCGCTGCTTCCGGCTCCCTGTCAGTCCCGCCTCCTCCAGAGCCAGCAACGCCACCTATGAACATCTTTTGATTTTTTAATTATTTTTGCCTCCGGCCAGTTTCCATAAGTACATTTCTTTGTGTTTTAGCTTTGGCTTTTTTCTGAGGCGTGGCAGGCGGAGCAGCAGCAGCAGCAGCAGCAGCAGCAGGAGCGACAGCAGCACCAGCGACAGCAACGGGCGAAGGCGCAGCAGCCAGTGCAGCAGCAGAAGACGCAGCGGGACCAGCAGCAACGGCGACAGCAGCCGCATTGCCAGCACTAGCGGCTGCAGCAGAAGCAGCAGCAGCAGCAGCGAAAGCAGCGGCAAAAGCAGCACCAACAGTTAACACAGACTGCTGCAAACTTCTACGCAATGGTTCGTCACTCTCTTGCTGCTGCTGCTGCTGCGCTGCTGCTGCTGCTGCTGCGCTGCTGCTGCTGCTGCTGCTGCTGCTCTTTGCATTTGCCTCCTCGGGTTTAATTCTTTCCACATCTTTTTGAAAACTTGGAATAAATGAAAAAGTCAAAATAAATAAATTAAAAATTCTTTAAAATAAATAGCTAGCAGCAGAATGGAGTCTAGCAGCAAAAGGTGCAGCACAGGGAGCTGTTGCAGAAGCAGCAAGGACAGTTCCACCCGACGAGGGAGACAGCTAGCAGCGCCAGCACAAGCAGCAGCAGCAGCAGCAGCAGCAGCAGCAGCAGCATGCTGCTGAGGGTTTGTGTTATTGCGCATATCTCGGCTTGTCTGTGGCGGATTTGCGTGATTTTTTGTGCTGCTTGGTGTGCTGTGTGTGCTGCTGCTGCTGCTGCTGCTGCAGCAGCAGCACACGATCCTCTTGGTGCAGTTTGGAGACCGCAGGGAGACAAAAACTTACATGGAATTTGCTTCTGTTGCAGCAGCAATGGACGGGGTGTGCCAGCTGTACGAGCAGGCCCTGAAGGGGGCCGAGCCGCGGCTGCGGCAAATCACCTACGACGTCAACGACCTCTTCAGCTACCTCGACTCCCTCAACGATCTCTGCGCCCTCGTGTCCGCAAACCCTAAACCCTAATCCCTAAACCCTCAAAAGCAGAATTCATTCGACAAAAAATGACGAAAATTGGACAAAAAACGGCCTCAAAACACTAAAAATTTACCCCAAACCCTAAACCCTAAACCCTAGGCCCAAATCACCTACGAAGTCAACGGCCTCTTCAGCTACCTGGACTCACACAACTATCTCTGCGCGTGTCAGCAAACCCTAAACCCTAAACCCTAAACTCCAGGAAGAAGAATTAATTCGCCAAAAAGCGATAAAAATTGGACCAAAATTGACCTCGAAAGTAAACCCTAAACCCTAAACCCTAGACCCAAGTCACCTACGAGCTCTTCGCTCACCTCGACTTCCTCAATGAGCCTTCGCTTCAAACAAACCCTAAACCCTAATCGCAAACCCCAAACCCTAACCATAAACCCTAAACCCTAATCGCAAACCCCAAACCCTAACCATAAACCCTAAACCCTAATTATTAACCCTAATCACCGAAGAATGTACTTTACCATATGGAAAATGGACCCTAAACTCTGAAGATGAGTCCTTAACCTAGACGCTAAACCCTAAACCCTAGACGCTAAACCCTAAACCCTAGACGCTAAACCCTAAACCCTAATGCAGCTCAAGGGCCTCTGCGTCTCCCGGGACCCTAAACCCTAGATTAAACCCTACCCCGAAACCCGCAGTCTTCAGGCCTGCCCTTTTCCAGGAACCCCCAAACCCTAAACCCTAACTCTTGAATTCCAAACCCTCAAGCCTGTGAAACCCTTATCCCGCAAACAGCAGTCCGAGGCCCCAGCCTCTAAGGTTTAGGGTCTGGGGATTAGGATTTAGGGTTTAGGGTTTGGGGTTTTGGTGCAGGCACGACAGCGAGTTGAACGCGTACGCGCCGCACAACAAAGCGTGGATAAAAGATCAAGTGTTTAAACATTTGAAGAGACAGGCGAGGGCTTGAGGGTTTAGGGTTTGAGGTGTACGCGGAGTTGGGGTTCTTGCGTGCGCGTTTTGGGGTGTACGTACACCCCAGCAGTGCGCGGGCCGGGGTGTACAGACACCCGAAGCGGCCCGCGCGAACGCCCCCCATTTCAAACTTCTTAATGCCATTTTAAACTTCCAAATTTGTTAATTGCAATCTTTTAAAAAGTCCAAAAGCCAAAATGCAAAAGGGGGTTGCTGCGGTGTACCTGCGCCCGAAACTTGTGCGGGTTTCTGCGGTGTACGTACACCCGAAACCTGCACAGCCGTTTGCTGCGGTGTACGTACACCCCAGCCGCCAGTTTTGAGCAGCTGCTGCGGCGCCGCATTCCGCAAACCCTGAAAGGGTTTCTCGAAACGTCCTTTTCTTTTGTCGCTCCTTCCCCTAAACTTTGTGTCTTTCTTGATCCTTTGTTTCCCCCGGCTCCAGCGTTTAGAGGAAGTCGAGGGTTTAGGGTTTAGGGTTTAGGGTGTCGAGG